GAGACAACCTTGACATTGTGTGTTTTAACTGTGGTAAAAGAGGTCATAGGTCTAACATTTGTACTAATCCAAAAAACGCGAGTTTCACGAGTTACATAATGAATTCGGATATCTAACTCGGGAAAACAAATACGATGAAAATTTCTTTTCCGAAAAAGAAAAAGGTAAATTTGATTTAATAAATTTTGTGAGACAGTGGTATATTGGTTCTAAAAATGAAATAAAAAATAAGCAAATTAAAAATTAGAAAAAGAATATTTTTAAATAAATTAATGATTAAAGAAAGAGGTGAAAGAGTTTTATCAATCGAAGTAGAACTATATAATAAAAAAAGGTTTGGAATTATTGACACAGGTTCTAATATCACATATATTGATAATTCCTTAACAAATAAAAATGATATTTTTCATAATAAAAATAATGTGATTATAACAGGCCCGGCTATCCCAGTCGGTAGAGCACAAGACTCTTAATCTCGGGGTCGTGGATTTGAGCCCCACGTTGGGCGCTACTTTGTTGTATTTAAATATGAAACAATCTTTTTGTTCTAACTTATAGTTATAATAGTTCAATAATAACGCAAATGTAATTAATAAAGATATAATCAAACAAAGTATAACATATAAAATAATACACTTAAAACAGGATAAATAAATAATACACAAAATGAAAACTTAACATCACAAACGTATCACGCGGAAAAATATTACCTTCTGTACTCCCGAGGTCTTCTCTCTCTCCCCTTTCAATTCATTCCATTTCGTCTTATATACTAAAATATTTTGTTTTTCTTTTTATAAAATTCATATAGTAATCATTATCAAAAATGTTTATAAATATTTACTTCCTGATCTAGTAACAAAAATTCAGGGAATTACAATTTATCTAAACATTACAAAAGTGTTTTACTTCTAGGTTTACAAATAATAGACTATATTATATTTTTGTAACAATAGATCAAGAAATTCATAGTTAAACCAAACATTACAAAAATGCTTTGTTTTCAGTTTTACAAAATNAATACAAAAATGTTTTGTTTTCAGTTTTACAAAATAATGACATTATATATTACAGAGCTTAGAAAAAGTCGTGATACACACAAAAATAGAAACACATCATGGTAAAATTAGTACCTTCTCAGATTACATTTTTCAGAATGTTTAACTAGATCTTGATTAACTTCATTGTTTGATTTTAAAATAAGTTATAAG